CATAGTGAAGTGTAGGCTTTTTAATTTACCCATCACCTGAATAGTGTACATTGTACCCAGTAGGTAATTTTATATCCCTCACCCCTCTCTTCCTTTCCACTTTTGAGTCTTCATTGTTGATTAAGACAACTCAGTATGATCATGTCTACCCATTGTTTAGCTTCCACTTATAAGTGAGAACACACAGTTAAATAACTTTTCTTGACTTTTTTCTATAGTAGTCTTGCCTTACTACCCAAGACTTCTGCCTTCATGCAACTATGGGAGGCTCTCAAAAGTCTTTGATTTTTTAACAAGAGAGAAACCCAAACTCCATAAAATAATGTAAAGAAGTTTATTGTGAGTCAATGTGTGTGACCATGGTTCGAAAAACCACACCTGAGAAGTCTTGGGCAAGTGGTATCAAGGCAGTCAGGTTACAGTTTGGTTTTATACATTTTAGGGAGATAGGAATTGCAGATAAAATTATAAATCAATACATGGAGGGTGTATATTAATTTGACCCCAAAAGGCAAGATATCTTGAACTCGGGCTTACAGGTTATAGGTGGGTTTAAACATTCTTTGATCTGTAATTCATTAAAGAAATAAAGGTCTGTCTAAATACTTGGAATGGTTTGAGTTAAGATAAGGAAGTCTTTTAAACAGAGACAACCCAAAATATGCCAACTAAAGTGATGTATTTAAGCACATTGGTGTACTGCAGGTAAGTTAACCATTGTCCTGTGTGGACTTAAGTTTTCTTGATAATTTAATATCTTGGCTCAATGCCTGTGGCTCAAGTGGCTAAGGCGCCAGCCATATACACCTAAGGTGGCGGGTTCAAATCCAGCCCGGGCCCGCCAAATAATGACGATGGCTGCAAACAAAAAATAGCCGGGTGTTGTGGCGGGCGCCTGTGGTCCCAGCTACTTGGGAGGCTGAGGCAGGAGACTCGCTTGAGCCCAGGAGTTGGAGGTTGCTGTGAGCTGTGATGCCACAGCACTCTACCCAGGGTGTAGCTTGAGGCTCTGTCTCAAAAAAAAAATTAATATCTTACTGTCAACAAAGAGTCTGTTTCTTCTGTCTTAACTATCTCTGTTTCAACATCAGTGCTGATCAGTTGTGTTTGAACCATAAAAAGGAGGGGGAGGGATATCTGACTTCCCTCCCATTCATGACCAGGCACTCAGTTTTAAAGTTTTTCTGGGGCCCCCTGGACCAAGAGGGGATCCATTTAGTTGTCGAGGGTCTAAGTTGACAGGGTCACATCACTAAAGAGCAGAATGGATAGCTAGAATCTGAGATAAAAATCAATACTAAAAATAAGATTATTCTGTGTAGAGAACTAAACAACTATTTCTTGGGTGTTGTCTCTGCAGGTGAAGTTGCAAAACAATTCCGAACGTCAACATTGTCAGTCATTCACGATTCCTGTGTTTTATTTGTAAAGAAATCATGGCTGCTACAATGGTGCATGGTTTTGTCCAGCTGTGGAGCAGGAAGTCTGGAATGTCTAAGTCAAAAGAAGTATACATCGAAACAGTGGAAGGAAAGAAAAAGATTAAGCTGGTGCTCTATTTCAACAATGGACAATACAAAATTTTTCGACTAAGTAACAATATTAAAAATGTGGTCCTCAGATCTTACGGAGAAAAGCAAAATCACCTGCATTTAACTTTCCAAAACAATAACTTCTTGTTCATTGACAAATTATCCTCCTCTGATGCTGAACAGTTAAAGTTATTCTTAGACCGAGTTCGTGAAAACAAGATTCAACCATGCAAGAGACCTCATATGCAAAAGGATGGCGTCGGCAGCACAAAAACCGAGAAAGAAGCCCACCAAACTTCGTTTTACAAAGTATTGAAGAAATCAAGATACTTACTTGCTGAGTCGGGAAAGGGAAGTGAAAAACCTGCCCTTAAGAAGATACCTTTACTCATGTCAAAATCATCAACACCTATTCGCGAAGGGCTGGTAGAGAGTCTGCATAAGGGGAACCAAATGACACCATCTAAGTCAGAGATGAATGAGAATGGGAAAGAAAACGTCACCAAGGATAAGAAATCTAAGCGAGATACCCTCAGGTACATAAGGCACAAGTGGGAGAAACAATTGAAGTTACTGAAGTTTGACGACTTAAAAGGGAATAAGAAATTGGAATTTGGATCTTCAGCTAAGTCCGGCTCTTTGGGAAACCCTGACCTAGGTACCACAAGTCTTCTCCAAACTCTGACCGAGAAAACATTTTTGGCATTTCTGATGGAATCAAAGAATACTGTGAATGGCCCAGAATGGGAAAAATTGAAGACCTCTTTTGATTTATACCCAGAGAAATTGTGGCAAGGCCTCCCAAATTTGGGGAACACTTGTTACATGAATTCAGTCTTACAGTGCCTATTTGCAATTCCATCGTTTGCTGAAGATTTACTGTATCAGCATTTCCCATGGGGTAACATTCCCCTCGATGCTCTGAGCCTGTCCTTGACACAGCTGCTTGTTTTGAAAGATATTTATAACACCAAAGTCAAGGAGTTATTACTTCAGAGTATTAAAAAAGCCGTTTCGTCAGTTGCAGATATATTCTCTGGCAACATCCAGAATGACGCTCATGAGTTCTTAGGTCACTGCTTCGATCAGCTGAAAGAGAGCCTGGGAAGCTTCTGCACAGTTTGGAAGACTAGAAGCGAATTTCAGGAAGAAAATTCCCCTGAAGAAATTCCCACCGACAAGGAGGCCACCAAAGAGCTTTTTTGTCCCATCAACAGTAATTTTGAGTTTGAGTTGCTGCGCTCTATTGTTTGTAGTGCTTGCGGTCACGTGGTGCTCAAGGCAGAACTGAACAATTACCTGTCGGTCAACCTTCCTCAAGGACCGAAACTATCATCTTCATCTATTCAGTCTATGTTTGATCTTTTCTTTGAAGCGGAAGAGCTTGAGTATAATTGTGCGAAGTGTAGCCACAAGATTTCTATCGGAGAACACCAATTTTGCACGCTACCCAGAATCCTTATTGTTCATCTGAAACGCTATGGCTTCAATGACGTTTGGTCCTTAGTGAAGGATGACCAGGAAGTCATTGTGTCTGAGCACCTAAACGTGACCGCTTATTGCAATGACAGCACCAAACCACCTGTTCCCGTGAGCAAGAATGTACAAAAAAAAGATTTCGGAGCACTGCAAGTTTTTCAAAAGATGAATCCTGAGAGCCTCAGCTCATTAACATCCTCACTTAAGCTGACCTTGGAATCCAAGGATTCCCTGGCACAACACCTTCGATCAGATGTGTCAGGACCCGAATGGGTCTGTAAAAGGGCAAGCAGAAAACAAGAGCGAAAAGAACTGAGGAAAGTGGCCAAACTGAATATAATGCAGTCAGAATCGTCACGCTTAAAACAGAAGACACTCATTGAAAGAGAACTGTTAGCTAGCTCAGTGATGTATCTGGGAGGCACCTCCTTTTCCCAGATGTTCCAAAGAGATGGAGGCGAATTCGCCGGCCATTCAGACACACGAGACGTACGTGTTGCAAAAGATCGTTCTCAAAAAGTTTCTGAAGATCCCCGAATAAAGAAATACAAGCAAACCCGTATGTTCAGAGGTTTCAATAGGATCCCTGCGTTTACTGAAAAATTGCATGAAAATCAAAGAGTTGGAACTCCAGTCGAGATTGAAGATTTTGATGAACAGACCCTGCTGTGCGACGAGATAACAATCTGCGATGAAGTCCTTGAGCCTCCACAGGCACCACTTGGAAGTTTTGCAAACCTAGTTCCCCAGAGTTACACGGAGGACTCCAGTTCATCCACAGAATTAAATAGCCAAGAAGATACTGTGATGTCCTCTGAGCCTCAGCAGGCACCGCCTGGAAATTTTACAAAGCTAGTTCTCCAGAGTCACATGGAGGACTCCAGTTCAGCCACAAAATTAAATCTCCAAGAAGATATTGGGACATCCCCTGAGCCTCAGCAGGCATCACTTGGAAGATTTAGAAAGCTAGTTCCTCAGAGTCACACAGAGGACTCCAGTTCACCCACAAAATTAAATCTCCAAGAAGATACTGTGATGTCCCCTGAGCCTCAGCAGGCACCGCTTGGAAGATTTAGAAAGCTAGTTCCCCAGAGTCACACAGAGGGCTGCAGTCCACCCGCAGAATTAAATCTCCAAGAAGATGTTGTGATGTACCAAGGTGCTTTAGATTCCAATCAGAACCCTGGAAAGAAAGGCATTTTAGATAAGAAGACAGAGCCTAAAGCCACAGAACCGAAAAGAAATGATGATAAGGATGATCGTTACACCTATCGGCTTATTGGTGTTGTCAGCCATCTTGGGAAGACTCCAAATTCAGGCCATTATCTCTGTGATGCCTTTGACTTTGACAGGCAGGTCTGGTTCACTTACAATGATATGCACGTGTCAAATATCCAAGAGGACCTTATGCAGAAATCTAGGGCTGGCACTGGATACATGTTCTTTTACATGCATAATAAGATCTTTGAAGACCTGATGAAAAGACCCAAAACCTCCCAGGTTCCTAGCAAGGAAAAAGGGATGCCCCCTCGGGAGAAATAAAGGACAGCCTTATTGCCCATAACTGCTTGACTGCCTCACTTACTACCACTTACATTATAGAAGGAAAACTCTAAACTCAGGTGCAGAGGTAGTTAGGCCAGGACCCAAGTTCATACACAAACACAGAGAACTCTCCATTCTAACCCTGACACAGACACCTCAGTCCTCAGCTCAGGCTGAGTAGTGGACTTCTTTCCTACAAGATTGGAATTGGGCTTTCCATGCTTTAATGCAGTGGTTTTCGAAGTGTAGTTCTCAAATCAACAGCATTAGAAGCTGGAGAACCCCTTAGAAATGTGAAATCTTGGAGTTCACTGTAGAGAATAGCAATCTGATGGTGGTTCTCCTGTATGATAAAGTGTGAGAACCACCACTCTAGCATGGAGAGCGTAATATATTTTGCTGTTGTACATTTGAATTGCTCATTTTGCAAAAGAGTCTTCGGGTGTGTTTCTTAAACACTTCCCAAATTTGTGTGTCATTCTTGTGTAGGGGCCTGGCTGATCTTCTCTGTGTCCTTCTAATTTTAGTGTGTGTGCTGCTGAGGTGAGTGCAGTAAAAGGTTTTGATGACATTGTTTCTTAGATTCATGTATGCTTTAAAGTTGACTTCTAGTTAATTAACTATGATGTATTCAGAATAGCTAAAAAGACAGATATTGTTACAAAATGGAAACAGGCAAAATTCATTTAAAGATCACTCAGCGGTTTGGTGAAACAAAAATAGTTGCTGGGCTCCTGGCCTTAAACCTTAAATGAGGCTGATAACTTTTGAGTCCTCTCAGGTTATATATGAGACTGAACTCTTGCTGCCAGATCAGATCTCCAAATTGGCTGCCAAACTGCTTTTTTCTTAATGCCAAAGTGGCTGTGTGCCCTCAGAATTTAAAATTTTAGGATGGAGAAGTTGATCTGCTCTCAACAGATTGCCCCATGTTTCTGCCAGCAAGCCATTGGTCCTTGGTAATCTGAGCCCATCTTGCCACATCGGTCATCTCAGAGGCAGTTGCATTGCCTGAAAGGAACTTTGCCAGGACTTTATCCATGAAACCTTGAACAATCCTCTGTATTCATGATTACAAGACTAATTCAGGATTTCTTTGACATCTCTGTACTTTCCCATGTGGTAGCCTTGTTTCTTGTTCCCTCAACTAGTAAACTACAGATGCTTTAAAGTTGATTTGTAGGATTTGAAAGTTGTTAGTTTTTGCTGGTTTGATACAACACCAAAAAATCTGTACGGAGATGGTCTGTTTCTAGGGAAAGCCACATGGATCCTGGGGTGGTCATATTTTCTTAGAGCTCTGTATAACCCAGGAATGGAATAATTTTGATATCAAGCGTGTGTTATCTCTGTAACATAGCCTTGACCTACCTTTGAGGCAGTGACTCTGTAGTGCCTTGTGTTTTTTGTTATGCACCAATGTCTTGTATTAAGCTTTCTCACATCATATAGAAGGATTGAATTTTCAGTCCTGCCTTTACCAACATGAGTACCCCCTCCTTGTGTATTTGGATATGGTCTTTGTACAGCTGTATTAATCTAAGAACTTGCCGATGCTCTTAATCCTAGAGACTTTCAGAGAAGTGAATTGGAATTTGGTCTAAATAGATAATCTCTAAGGGAAGCGCCAGATTTCAAAGCTTGGGGCTTCTATTATTCAGAACACTGTATCCAGAAGGAGGTTGTGTTTTTTGTTTTAAGAAGGTGTTTTTAATGGGACTTGAAGATTGCCAAAGTATAAAAGAGGGAGTGTCCCAGATTAAGTGAATCTGTCGTGGAGGAAGATATTATAGACACAATAGTGAGATCATTCAACTTCTCCAGTCTTTCAGTAACTGTAGGATAAGGCTGGAGTTGGAGTTAGAGGAGGAGAGTGATAGTTTGGTTTCTAAATTTCAGGCATTGAGCCTCTTTAGAATAGTTTGTGTTGAACCTAGTTACATAGACATTAGAATGGGAGGGTTTGTTTGTTTGTTTTTGGCTGGGGGCCAGGCTTGAACCTGCCACCTCCAGTATATGGGGCCAGCGCCCTACTTCTTTGAGCCACAGGCGCTTCCCCCCTTTCGTTTTTGTTTTTTGAGAGAGTCTCACTTTTTTACCATTGGTAGAGTGCCGTGGCATCATAGCTCACAACGACCTCAAATTCCTGGGCTCAAGGGATTATTTTGCCTCACCCTCCCAAGTACCTCTGACAACAGGTGCCCACACAATGCCTGGCTATTTTCTTTTTTTTTTTTT